AACGTCGAGTCTACGTAGGAAAAGCGCAGAAATGTGATGACCATCGCAGCTAATGTTCGAACACGTTGGTTGCATGTAAGTTAGAAAAAGAAGGAAAGAAGAACGAAAGGAAAAGAGGAAAGCACCCGTTAGAGACGTAACGACGATTCTTTTAACGACGCGCAACGGAAAGGTCGAGGCGAAAGCGAAATAACAGTAAACAGTAAGTTGTAATGTACGATAACACACAATCAAAGTGAATTTCAAGGATAGTTTGGTCTTCTTCGTCATATATATTACGCTCTATATTCCTTCGCTGAGATGCATCCGTTAATTGCAATGTCGCGAAAAAGCAGATAATGTTTACGTTTAATTATCACGCGCGATACAAATAGCGATGTTAACTGAAAACTCATTCGACATTACCGAATAATCGCGTAATCGCTAGCAATAGTCATGTAAATCTATGTAAATGCACCTAACTGTAGTAGCTTAACTTATTAACCGTAACGACGTAATTTCGGAATGTTTATTTTGTGAAAATAAACAGGGGCTGGGGAAATAATTGCAATTAATGAGAAATTACTGAAAATAGAATTGTCGAAATAATTACAGTCGCTGCAAAGTGCCGCGCTAAAGTGGCATCTTCAAAATAACCATGAGTTGTCACGGCAAGTTTCATCTTAAACTTCTGTTGTCGCACGCGACTTGGCGCAGCACATTAACATTTACCATATTCAAAGCATTATAAATGGTTTTCACTGAGAACGAGAGACCTGTCGTCGATCTACATAAGATATATCGTTAAGCTTCTGCATCGTTACACGACCGACAATTCTAATTGGTAACGGATAAAAAGAGCGAACGATTTTGTCACGCGGCAATCGCGGCATTAGTTAACGAAAGAACTTGATAACGCTCAACAACATAAATAACTTGGGCAAAATAGAAAAAAATTCTGTTTCATTCAAATTATTCCCGTCGTTTTCCGCGTTCCGATGTAAAATAATTTTGTCGCTGTTAACGTTGAATATCTCGGTCTTGTGTTTAACTTGTCACGTTTGCTCGACGACGATATTTTGGGCATAGTCGTGCAACTTGGACAAATAGGTTTTTATCACGGGCTCTAACATGTTGCATAATTTATAAGCTACGAGTCAGAGGAATTCAAAATGAAATATGACATCGAGTTGTAGTACAACGAGAGATCGCCAGGCGTAACATTTGTGCGAGACATGTGAATGTCGCACGTATCACGAAGGATCTTATTTGGATGTTACTTTGGTGTTATTTGTGTATGTGTATGTGTGTGTGTGTGAGATCGAATACATTTAAAACACTACGCGATAAAGATGCTCGTAATATCGGACGAAACATTTTATCGTTTTTTATTTGCGAGATGCGAGAGCGGCTACGAATTTTATGAAGCAAGTACCTAATCAAATTAAATCTAGTGAGAGAGAGAGAGAGAGAGAGAGAGAGACAGAGATAGAGACAGAGAGAGAGAGAGAGAGAGAGAGAGAGAGAGAGAGAGAGAGAGAGAGAGAGAGAGAGAGAGAGAGAGAGAGAGAGAGAGAGAGAGAGTAGAGAGTAGTAG